ATGACGCCACTGCACTCCAGCCTAAACAACAGAGTCAGACCCTGTCTCAAAAAAAAAAAAAAAAAACACCAAAAAACCTACAATGAGATGCCCCTTGACGCCTGTTAGAATGGCTGCTAAAAAGACAGCACCAAGCACTGGATGAGCTGGGGTGTGGGCTTCCCGTATTATGGAGCATGGTGTTTCCAAGTGTCAGAGCCCCCGTGCTCAGAGGAGGAAGCAGATGCACACATGGCTGCACGCTGTGTGATTCCATGTATGAGACATTCTGAACACAGACACATGCTAGATGGCAAAACGAGCATCATGGGCAAAGGGAAGTGGGGCTTTTGAGGTATGGGTTGATCGTAGCTCATGGAGATGTCATCTCAAAAGGGTGAGTTTTACTATGTGCAAACTATTTCTCCACAAACCCGACTTTTAAAAAAGTAACAAAATATTAAAGTAAAAAAGAAAACCAAATGTTAAACCATCAGACTACTTCATCACAGGTGTTATTTTTAGACAGGGACCCTTGAACTCCATCCCGGGAACATTTTACCTGTGTCCTCTTGGCACTGCATCCCGCATGAGGTGTCAGAAAATGGCCCTGCAGGATTAATAAAATTTTGCAAATGAGACCTTGGTCTTCCAGAGCTTTCAGGAGAACCTCTATAGAAGATACCTTGGGTCTTGTCTGCTCTCTCAGGGCTAAAGGCAGGCCACTGGGTTACAGAGCAGTGCCAGAAGATAGAGGAGGCAGGCCTGTTTGCATGCAGTCAGGATAAAGGACCAGTGGTGACAGCCACATCCATGAGGATGGCTGTAATCAAAAAACAGAAGATAACAAGTGTCATTGAGTAAGATATGGAGAATGGGAACCCTGGTGCATTGCTGGTGGGAATATAAGTGGTGCAGCTGCTGTGGAAAACAGTACGGTGGGTCTTCAAAAAGTTAATCATAGAATGACGATATGACCCAGCAACTCCACTCCTAGGTAAATATTCAAAAGAATAGAAAGCAGGGACTTGAACAGATATTTGTGCATGAATGTTCATAGCACCGTTATTCACAGTAGCCAAAAAGTGGAGACACCTTAAATGTCCATCAGTGGATAAACATACATAATATTCCATTTAATGGAATATTATTCAGCCTTAAAATGTGTGAAGTTCTTTTTTTCTTCTTTTTCTTTGTTTCTTTTTCTTTTCTTTTTTTTTTTTAGACATAAGGTCTCGCTGTTTCCTGGGTTAGAGTGCAGTGGTGCCATTGTAGCTCACAGCAACCTTGGACTCCTGGGTTCAAGCAATCCTCCTGCCTCAGCCTCCTGAAGAGCTGGGACTACTGGCACATGCCACCATGCCCAGCTAATTTTTTTTATTTTTCGTAATGATGAGGTCTTATTGTTTTGCTGGGACTGGAAAAGGAATGGAGTTCTGATTCATGCTGCAACATGGATGAACATTGAGGACATTATGCCAAGTGAAATAAGCCAGACACAAAAAGACAGATGCTGTGTGATTCCATTTGTGTGAAATGTCCAGAACAGGCAAATCTATGGAGACACAATAGTTGCCAGGGGCTGGATGGAGGGAGGCTATTAGGGGAAGGCGTAGGGCAAATTGGGGATCAACTGCTAATAGGTATAGGGCTTCTTTTGAGGGTGATGAAATGTTTCGGAACAAGATAGAGGTGATGGTTGCACATCATTGTGAATGTACTAAATGCTATCGCATTGTCCACTTTTGAATGGTAAATTTCGCGTTATATAAATTTTGCCTCAATTTAAAAAATGTTTTTTCAAACAAAGTGGGCTCACATCTAGTGTATTTTAGAACACATGGTGATGTACGTGAGCAAGGATAGCCATCTTGGCGAGTATGGAAGCCACTAACCATGTGTGGCGGCTGAGTGAGCACTTGACGTGTAGCTCACGTCAATGAGGAACTGAATTTTTAATTTTAATTTTAAAACTGCTTGACTTAGATACTAGAAAATTAAGTATTTTGGAGCATTTGGATCTATTCTTTCAATTGTAAATTTTATGAAATCTAACTACAGATCAAATATTTCTGATGAAAAAGTAATTCAGGACTCATCTCGATTTTTTTTTTTTTTTTTTTGAGACAGAGTCTCACTGTGTTGCCCGGGCTAGAGTGCCGTGGCGTCATCCTAGCTCACCGCAAACTCAAACTCCTGGGCTCAAGCGATCCTCCTGCCCTCAGCCTCCCGAGTAGCTGGGACTACAGGCATGCGCCACCATGCCCGGCTAATTTTTTCTATATATTTTTAGTTGTCCAATTAATTTCTTTCTAATTTTAGTAGAGATGGGGTCTCACTCTTGCTCAGGCTGGTTTCGAACTCCTGAGCTCAAACAATCCGCCCGCCTCGGCCTCTCAGAAAGCTAGGATTATAGGCGTGAGCCACCGCGCCCGGCCTTTTTTTTTTTTTTTTGAGACAGGGTCTCACTCTGTTGCCTGGATACTGCAGCCTCAAACTCCTGGGCTCAGGTGATCCTCCTGCCTCAGCCTCCCAAGTAGCTGGGACTACAGACATGCACCTCCACACCCAGCTAATTTTTCCTATTTTTAGTAGAGACGGGATCTCACCCTTGCTCAGGCTGGTCTCAAACTCCTGACCTTAAGCAGTCCTTCCTCATGGGCTTCCCAGAGCGCTAGGATTACAGGCCTGAGCTACCTTGCCCAGCCTCCTCTTGATTTTTGTTGGGTACACCTGTGGACACAGGATGCAGGGGTGAGCCCCTTCCCTCGTTCTGGGGATAGGTTCATTATCTTTAGATCTGTCTCCTGCTGTGCCCACAGAGCCCTAAAGTCTGGGTGTGAGTCTGGACCTGGACCATGAAACCCCATGGGGTGTATAAAAAGGCCCGAGAGCAATGGCAGAGTCCCCTGGCTAGTATGCGGGTTGATCCCCTGGTGTTGTAGTGCTGTTGGTGGGACTGTTAGCTTGAGTGTGGCTCTGTCCTGCTTCTCCATGCTGGGCTATCTAGGAAAGGCCCTAACTTCCGAGGGTTTGTCCTTATTTTTAAAAACAGATAATGGTATGCATTTTACAGGACTTGATATGTAGTTTAATAATGTTAATTACTAGTGAAGATAAAAGTAAAAAACTTAAAGGGTCTCTTCTTTCCAGAGGTGTACAGTTCCTCAGAGTCTTTCCTGGAATAGGGAAAACAATGTATCTTCCACTTGGAAGGTTTTTCGTCGCGTGAGCTCTATAAGACAGGGTGAAGTTCTCAGCATTGGGGTCCCTGAGGGCGAGTCAGGTTCCCCCTGACTGTAAAGTCAGTGACAAGCCAGCTAAGCAGAGTATCTGGAAATGGCAACTTTATTCTAAATTGAAATTGGGCACTGGCAGAGCAGCATCATTTACTGGGCAGAGCTGGCGGCGTGGCGGGGAGGCACCCCCTGCTCTCAACTCCCCTTGTTTGTGCGGGGAACGTCAGACAAGGAGAAGATTTCTGAGATGCCAGAAATCTCAGATCATGATTGCAGCTTTTTGTCTTTTCCCAATAGTGGGAAATCTCTACTGCATGCCCTCCCACACCTCATCAGTGCCCACCTTCCTCATTAGTAGAGAGCATTCTTGGGACCAACCCCTGGCTCGGCAGGGTCAGGCACTGAGTGTGTTCTGTGGTGGTGGTGGATTTGGGCAGCAGGGCTTGGAGGTAGAGAGGCAGGAGATGCTGCGTTAGGACACTGCTTTCAAGCCTGTGAATGCCAGAGCCTCCAGTGCTCCTCCCAGCTGTCAACATTACCCTGAGTGTAGCTTGTCAGGGTTCACCTACCTGGTCAGTAAGTCTCCTCCTGGTGGTCTGCACCTCCGTGGGTGAGAGCTGTTCTTGCTTGCTGGCTCTTTGCTGCCTTTTCCCTTTTTCTATGAATAACTTAGTGTTTTCATCCCATCAAAGAATGGACAGTTCTAGGACAAAGTGAGCAAACCCAAGAATTTCCCGATGAGCTTAGCACTGACCACAGAGCATGCAGCCAGTATCCTTGCTGTCTGTGTGACCCCATGACCACTGATGATGGGCGATGGTATGGCCTGGGCATTCCCCTGTGTCCCTGCAACAGGCCAAATAGCCAGGGGCACTTGGGCACCAACCTCATACAACGCCTCTCATGTTTGCTCCCGTGCGGCCGTTCTACTTGTCTTTGGGTTTTTGTGGTAATGACATGAATTTCCCAGACCCCAATACAGGGCTGCATCGTGAGTGGGTGAGTGCTGGTTCCCTTGACCAGGGGTGAATCTGTGCCATCCTCACAGTGGTGCCCAAGCAGGCTCAGACCAGGTTTGGAGTGGCTCTTTATGGTGGCTTCTCCTTCACCAGCCATTGGAGGTTCAAGGCCTGGGGCTGGAGGGCCTGTCATGCAGCAAGCCTGGCCCAGGGAGGAAGTGGGCTGGGGCCCCTGGAGTGCTCTGGTCGAGGGGGTGAGGAGTCCCTGGGAGAGTCTGTGGTGCATCAGGCTGAGCCCTCGAAGTTCCCAGCTTCTTCCCAAGAGGGCAGGTCACGGAAACAAGAAAGATCACTGAAGGGAGAGGTGGTTGATAAGAGCTAAGCGAGGCCTTCTGTGGTGGGTGTCGGGTGGCAGGCTGGGATGGCCTGGGGCAGATCCTGGTATGGGGGTGTATCAGGGATCTTGGCAAACATCGTCTCTCAGTGAGAGTGGGCAAGGTGAGCACTTGGTGTGGGCACTATCCTGTCTCTGAGGATCGAGGGCCTGGTGAAGAAGGACAAAGGCACTTACCAGAATGTCAGTGCCCTCAAACGCCCCATCTCTACCCTAGCTCTTCACTGTGATGTGTTAGCACAGGCAGCAGATACACCAGAGGATGCTGCCTTGGATCCTGGCACCCCTTCCTGTCCGCCACCACCCTTTGTGCAGTTGGCCTGGGCTCAGGCTAGGCGACTGTCCCTCAGCAGGCTATGCTCTTTCCCCAGCCCTGGCTGTCCTGTATCTCCTGACCCTGATGCAGGTCTCTGCCCTGCTTGTCCCCAGGTGAACCTGAGCAAGGTGGGCGAGTATTGGTGGAATGCTATCCTGGAGGGAGAGGAACCCATCGACATTGACAAGATCAACAAGGAGCGCTCCATGGCCACTGTGGATGAGGAGGAGCAGGCGGTGCTGGACAGGCTCACCTTCGACTATCACCAGAAGCTGCAGGGCAAGCCGCAGAGCCACGAGCTGGTACGAGCACAGCAGTCCTCCTGGAGAGCCCACCCTTTGGGCCCTTGTGGTGCTGGTGACAAGGCCAACCAGCAGCAGAGGGGTTGGTGATGCTGGTGGTGAAGAAGAGGGTGTTTGGATGGGCTGCCCTTCTGTGTCCTGGCTCAGCAAGGTTCCTGTCTTACTTGCTCTTGTCCCCGTCTTACTTGCTCTTGTCCCCTGATCGCTGCCCGAGGACAGGGCACTCTGGTCTTCCAGCCATATTCTCACACACACCAAGAGCCGAGGTAGCAGGGCCTTGAAGGGTGTCTTTAGAAGTGCACTGCTCACAGGAGCCTGGTAACCTCGAATGTATTGACGGCTCTCACCTTTGTGCCTCAGTCACATGTGCGTCTTCCTCTCTTTCCCTGGCCCCTTGGTGGAGGAGAGAAGGGAGCCAGGCCGAAGGGCCAGTTTCCAGGTGTCAGGCCTGTGTGTGAGGACTTCGTGAGGTCAGTAGCAGGTTGGGGAGCAGGAGGAAGAAGGTTGATGTCTGACCAGCATAGCGCCCAGTGCGGAGTACGCCTGTGGCAAACAGAATGATTAATTAGATGTATACATTTGTTCTTCCTATTTTAATCATCCCAAGAGTAGCTATTTAGGGAAGAAAGGGTGGCTTTCCTCAGATTATTTTTAACTCCCCGTGTCCCATATACACAGCCTGGGGGTTGGGGCACAGCATGGCAGGGCATGCGGACCAGGCGCAGCCTCCAGTCAGTGGGGATGGGTCAGCTGCTGGGCATGGGCCGGTCTCCTTATTTTTGTTCCATAAACACAGGCGCCCCCACCCCACCCACCTCCCAAAGCCGTTCAGATTCGCGTGTTTTCCTATCGGTCTTTTGGAGGAGCCTTACTTTGTGGTGTATTTGAATTATTCCAGTCTTGCCTTCTGGTTTGGCACGTGCCCCCTCGGTGTTTCTGCAAGCCCTGCCACTGTGTGTGTCCACTGTCACCTGTCTTCTCAGACAAGCCCATCCTGCTCCTGTGGGGTCCAGGAGCCTGTAGACGGGAGTGCCAGCCCTGCCACATGTAGTGAGCACTTACTACATACAGCCAGGCTGGGGACCCACACAGCCCTGAAAAGATACCTGATTTTTGCAATAGAGATGTTGAGTTACTGAGGTCACAGAATATGTTCAGGGTCCCATAGCAGCTGAAGCAGCAGGGGTGGGATCTGATTTCAGATCTTTCTGTTCTCCTCCTATCCCTGCCCGCCCTGGCCTGAGTCTCCACAGGAGAGAATGTTCATCTCGGCTTGGCCCCCTTTTCCACCGTAGGGCACAGCGAAGTTGAAGGACACCTCTGCTTGGCTCATGTGCCTGCACAGGTTGTGGTGGCCTCGGGCAGTACTGCAGCACTTGCTCAGATCAGCTCAGCTACTTAGACAGCCAGACCTACCTGGTCACATTTCAGTCCAGTTATGCTGTGTTTGCTTGTAGTCACTAGATGAAAGTCCAGTCTTTGAACCCTTGCCCTATGGGTGGGGCTTCTCATGGCAGCAGTTGGGCACAGGGACATGAGGGGCCTGCCTACCCTGTGCCCAGGTTCAGCACTCTGTCCATAGAAGGGCTGAAGTGTATTCACAAGTTGGCCTTCGGGGGAGAGTCTGTTTTGGCTAGAGAACGTGAACATAGATGCCCACTGCCTTGGATGAGTTAAGGAAGGAAGGAAGTCTTACTAAGCACCCCTTTGTGCCACAGGATAGAGGGACTAAGGGCAGGGGGTTCCTCAAATCTTCCCCAGATACCGACACTGAGTCTTTGGTATAGATTAGTGATAAAAATTATTTGTTGTGGTTTGAACTGCATTTGCGCATTTGTCAGAGCATCAGTAAGATATTCTATAGACATTAGCTGTGGGACATGGCAGAAGCTAGAATGCTCTGCAGCTGTTTTCATCTCTAAGTCCTCAGATTTCTTGTGATTTTGTCTCTTTCAGAACATAAAAGTCAAAAGTAAAACCAGCAGTAATACCTGCTTGTCTTGGGAGTTGCCATTGGTGCCAGGACACGCACAGGGTGTCAGCGCTCCAGCTGACCCTGCCCTCTTTTTTCTTTTCTCCTTCCTCCCTCTTTTCTGCCTGTTTCCTTTTTCTCTCCTTTGTATCCTTTCTTCTCCTTGATCTTCCTCTCACTCTCCCCGACCCCCAATTTTGCATTCTGTGCTGATGCCCTGACATTGCCTACTCTTACCCTTCTCCAGGGCATGTCAGTGAGGAGGATAGGCACAGATCTGCCTTCATGGCACTAAGATTCCGGCTGTTTTAATCTTATCTTCTCCAAAGAATATTTCAGTTTTGCTTTGCAATCTTATCGATAATCCTCCCCAGGAAGCCGCTGTTCTTGTCTCTCCATTCCTGAAGGCCTGAGGGCTTCTCATTCTGGTGGTTGTCACACAGCCTGCTGCCCAGGACCAGGAACAGGGTGATCTGTTCATTCCAGGCAAACCGAGGTTTTGGGCCTCAAACTCACACCAAGATCTTCACTGCCAGCCTGGGGCAGACCAGCCTCAAGAGGTGGGAGATGGTGGTGCCACACACCATATGTGTGCACTGTGCACATGTGTGCAAGCAGGGTACAGCTGGTGTCTTCTCTGTTCCCTGTCACCCTGTTCTGACAGCATTGCAGTGGGGTTGTCCTGTTGGTGTCCTCTGGGCAAGCTGCCTTCCTGGCCCCCATGGTACTACAGAGCCCAGTGTAGGACAGAAGGTCCCTGTGATAGGCCATGGGGGGTTTGCCTGTACCCAATATATAGCTGCTTGTGACCCAGCACTGGGGAGCCCAGGGACTGGGCAATGACCCAGTTAGGAAGGATCCAAAGAAGAATCTTGAAGACACTGTGGTCTAGTGGAAAGAGCTCTGTGTTTTGAATCCAAAACTATTCTTGCCATGGGCCAGGCAGCATGCTGACTCTTAAGGGGATGCCTGTCCCTGCCCAGAGCACGGGAGACCTTCGATGACATGCAGGAGCTCAGGGCTGGTTGTGCGAAGGTTAGGACCCGAGGTGACCCCCTTACCAGGGTTGACCTGCTCTTCAACAGCCAGGGAGCCTCCAGGTCCAAGGCCCACAGCTATAGATAGCAAGAAACCGACCTCAGGCATGTGGTAGCTCAGGGGTGATTGCGTGTCTGAGTACCTGCCTGGTGCTGATGCCAAAGTCTCAACTCCTCTCTGGGCTTGACAGGGCCTGGGGAAGGATCTTCAAAACCTGGGAGCCCTAACTAAATCAGAGGTTCCATGTAAAATGTCCTTAGTGACGGTAACCGCCTTTTTTTTAATCGAATACAGAAACAGACCTAGAAAGGTAGGTCTGTGCCCTTACGTGGCCTCATGTAGCAGATGAGCTGCATTTTGCTCAGTTGTCGTCAGGGATACCTCACAGGCAGGGACCCTCTTGAGAGTTCTCTGGTGGTCCCTGGTCACAGAATGAATCTGGGGACACACAAGAATGCCTGCTCTCCACCTTTGCCCCAGCAAAGGTCTGAGCACTGACCCTGGTGCCCTGGACTGACTTCGCTATAAGATCAAGTCTCCTAATTTGCATTTCGCACTGTCAGCTTCCTACGCGAGGTCTCCACCCAGCCATCTAGTTCCCAGGGTGTGGTGGCTGCAGGGCTCCACAGCTGTCACTTGCCCTCCACCTGGCTTGGGCTCCATTGAGGGGTTCAGAGGCCTTGTGCGGCCACCTGCTGAGGTCATCTGGTTGGTCTAGTCTTGCACTTGGTTGGGACTGTCCAGCCCCACACCTCCAGCGGGCAGAGGGGTAGGCCAGACCTTCAGGGAGGCACACACACGGCTTCCCGCAGCCTTCCCTGCTTCCCCAGCCACCTGCGTGTGCCACTCGCTCAGATCCCACTGCAGCACCTTGCTCTTGAAATGGTCTTTCCAAAGTCTCTGGTGTGAGTTACCTGTAAGAAGTTGAAAGTAATATTGATTAATCCCTAATATGTATTAAGTGTCTTTGATATGCTTGTTGCTGCCTTACTTAGCTTTAAAAATAGGAAGAAGAAAGCCCTCTTGTCAGGAAGGTTGTATTTTACTTAAGGAGAGGCCATGCTGCTAAGAGTCCAGGAGCCTCGTCAGACACCAGGAGTCACCCACACTGCTCGGGTCTGTTAATCTTGTGACGAAAGAAGAGACGTCTGTCTTCTGGGCCCGTTCTGCAGGGCTTTCTGTAACGGGGACTGTTGGTCACATTGCTAGGGTTACCTCTAGCCCTGTGCGGTCCCTTTTGTCTCTTGTGGTCAGAAGAAAGGTGAAGGTCATCCCCAGCCCTGAGTGCACTTGCGGGGCTGGGCGAGGAGGGCGGACGCAGAGATGCTGTTAGGAAGGAGGGCCCACCAGCTCAGGTGCAGTGCTCCCTCACCAGCACAGTCTTCCTGATCTCCCTGGCTGTGCTCACACAGCTTAGGCCTGCTTCTGACCCTTGGTGGCTAGATAGTTCCAGAAAGGCCACACGCTGGGAAGAGCTTAGTCAACCAACTCTGTCTCCAACGAAGCAGCGGGGAATTCCTGACTGGCAGGTCCACCACTGGACATTCTGCGGCCTCTTCCTCTGCCTCACACCGTGGATCGTCTGATGATGTAGTTCTTGGTGCTGAGAACTTCCTCCCTGGGGAAGGGGGAAGCACCCTCTCTGCACACCTTAGTCATGTCTCTGGTGGGGCTGGGCCACTTTCTCTGTACATCTTAGTCCCCACTGGGCCTAGGATACTTTCTCTACAACCCCTGTGGGCCCAGGACAGCCCCCTGCACACCTTAGCTAGTGCCTGGTGGGACTGTAGGTCCTATAGCCTCTTTGGAATTTGGAAGAGATCCTGGTGGAAAAGGGACAGGAGTTGAACCATAGAGAGTGGCCAGCGCTTTGCTGGGGTCAGAGATGGAGGGCTAGAAATTCAGTCTGTAGAGAGCGCAGTTTGCAGAGAAATTGGCAGTCACGCAGCGCCTCCCCTGGTTGTAGGCTGCCCAGGGCAGTATGGTCCCCTGGCCAGCTGGTCTTGCCAGGCGCATCCCAGACTCTGAGGGAGCAGCAAGGCTCTGCCTGCGGTTAGAATCTGCTCTGGGAGAAGGTTTGCAGTGCTTTGTGATCCCTTTTAATCTCTCTATTTTCTGTTTGTAGAAAGTCCATGAGATGCTGAAGAAGGGGTGGGATGCTGAAGGCTCTCCCTTCCGAGGCCAGCGATTCGACCCGGCCATGTTCAACATCTCCCCCGGGGCTGTGCAGTTTTAATGACCAGAAGGAAAGGAAACCCCTTGCCATCAGGGAGGCAGAGGCTTTGTCCTCAGCTGCCCTTCTCAGCTCCCTGCATTCCAGGGACTTGCTCGTCTTGTTCACCCCTAGCCATCCTTTCTATGAAGGATGAACCAGGCCTTCCACCCTGACTTTGCATCTCCAGACTGTTCCAGAGAAGGTGTGGGGCCAGCTGCTGGATGTTGGCCACCGTGGCCGACACTGAGTGAAGGTGTTTGAAATGCGGGAGGGACATCCCAGCAAACTGGGATCACGTGCTTTTGTCTCCACAGCAACCAGCCACTGCAGGCAGCATTTGTTTCCTTCCCTGCTCTTTGCTTGCTGTTGTTTTGATGCTGTTGTGCTTGCTTTGCTTTTGGTTGGGGCCATGGAGTTGTTGCTGGGCTCTCGGGTGAAGCTGAAGTTGCTGAAGTGTGTGGAGCTTGGAGCTTGCATGAGGGCAAGCGTGGAATGCTGTGCAACTGTTTCTGGGGCTGCTTTGGGAAACTCCTTGCCCCTTGACCTCTGTCGGGTATGTTCATGTGCTGTCATGCTCATCCCTTTGTAAATGTGCCCTGCCTGCCTCAGCCTCATGGGCAGAGCAGTGGAAACTGGAGTCCTGTTTGCATGTTTTAGATGTTGGGAGGTTCTGGCCTCAGGCCCAGGTGCAGTGGGGCTTCTGTCTGTTGTCTGACTGTGGCTGCCTTGCTTTGGTTCTTGCTGAAGTGAACCAAGCCCAGCCACCACTGCATGGCATGTTCTGCTTGGCTCCCTGTGAGACCTCCACGTTGGGTACACTGTGTCAAAATGTGGGCAGGAGTGGAGAGCCAGCGCCCTCAGGAGGAGGCCACAGCATGTCCAGCGGCCCATCAGCAGAGCACATCAGCCACAGGTCCTAAGCAGCCTTGACCTCGAGGGGCCTCTGCAAGCAGGAATTTCTGCACTGGGCCTGAAGGCACATTGTCTCACCACGACTGAGCCAGAGAAAGTGAAGACTACCATGTCCCCATCCTCTGTGCCAGGTGCCGAACCGCGCTTCCTGGAGCTCATGGCCCCGTCCTACCAGTTCTCCAGGGACTGGCCACCACCTCAGGACCCCTGAGCTTATGCCCTGAGCCATAGCTACTGACTGACTCCAGCCAAGGTGTGAAGACCCAATCGTGGGGTGTGGGGCAGGGCCTCGGCCTGTGCCCCAAGTACTCACAGTGGCACTCCGTGTGCCCATCACCAGGAATGTGGTGCTGCCACTACCCAGTGCTGTCCACTTGGCCATCAGCTCAGTGCATGGATAAGTCATCCTGCAGGTCTCCGCACCCTGGTGCCATGTGCAGCCAGCAAGAATGAAGGCCTGCAGATGCTAAGGAAGCCTCCTGTCATGGGGAAAGGACGCTGTCCCCTGCAAGCTCTCTCTGAGAATACTTGGGGGAAAGGGGCTATCTAGGAGAGTAAGTTGGTGGTTGGTTCTTCCAGAGGCTTCCACCTTTGACTGCATTGAAGGGAGCTGGTTTATTGTCATTTGGGGGTGGATTTCTGCTTTACAGTGGTGGCTGACAGTCCTTGTAAGACAGCATCCCTGGGAAGTATTCTGTGGGTCTGTCAAGCTAGAGCAGAGGGCCCCAAATACCCACCTTGGAATCAGAGCCCTGTTGTCTGATATCTGTCACTGAACTGGTGAGGCCCCTCTGAAGAGGTCTCCACCCTGGGGAGCAGAACTCTGTCACTATGAAGGGTCCTGAGAAAGCCTTTGTCATTTTTTCCTGGAGTTCCCCATCAAAGGTCCTAGGATTTGCACACCACTGCCTCACAAGAGCTTCCCTACCTAATGAAAGGAGGTCTCTCAGGGGTTGTGCGTATGTCTCCTGTCTTCTCTTGTCCCCAAGTTAGCCCCACCCTATGGGCAGTCTTCCAGAAGGAGTAAGGGAGGTGGGGATGCCCTACACCTTGTGATTGGGAGACTTTGAGAGTTGTTCACTTCTGTGGTGAGTGTCTTCTTTTTGCCTGATTTTGTTTTCTGTGGTGCATTTCTCCCCACTCCCTGCCCTGCTTTAATAAATGATAAACCAGCGTCTAGGAAGAGCAGCTGAGGGCCAGTGTTGGGTATTGGCCCTGTGGCAGGAGCAGCCACCCCGCATCTGGTCCCTGTGCCCTGTGCGATGCTTGGTGTGGTTGTAGAGCCTGTCCCTGCGCACCTCGCTGCCTGCCTGTTGGGTGATTCTGTGCCCTGAGGCAGTGCCCTGGACCTGCCCAGCCTCCAGAACTGGCGCACTCTGCCTTTTTTCTCTTTTTAGACATGACAACTGCAGTTTGGCCACTAAGTCCCACCAGCTGAGGTCCGAGGAAAGCGGGGTGACTCATTCCCCTTGTCCAGGGGCCCAGGAGAGTGGGGTGTCCAGCCTGCAAAGCTGCTCCAGCTCTTCAGTGTTGTTTTGCAATAAATCTGTATTTAAGCAATTCTGGGTCTGTGTGTAACATTTGCTGCTGAGACGGTTCTGTCTATGCGCGGTCATCACCTGTGAATGGTAGCCTTGAGGTCCCAGGCCCATGTACACAGCAAACACCAGAATGGGAAATTCTTAGGAGTTATTTCCCATCTGGTCTGAATGCCCCGGGCAAGACTTCACACAGCTTTCAGAAATCCCGTAAGATTTTGATCAGGAAAATAAAGAAGAATGTAGCTATAGCTCTTACGTGCTTTCAAGCAGGTTCTGGGATTCTGTTGTTACCTGGAAGCTCGGGGTGAGTGCAGAATTCTAATCAGTTCCACTGGGGGGCTGCCTTTGCTCACCAGGCTCTCGGGCCCTCAGTCTCCAGGTGCACACCTGCCATTACCTGTGCCAAGCCCTCGGAACACGGCTTCCGCAAGATCATAACCCGGTGTCGGATGCAGAACCTGCCCAGGCTGCCACCTGCTCCTTCCCTCACTCACATCCTAGGCTGTCCCTATCTGTGCCCCCGTCCCCATTCCATGGAGGTCCATCTCATCTCGTTCTGCCTCCTCTGACCCTCACAGGGGGCAGGACCTGGGGGCGTGAGGAGTATTTCTTGGCTGAATGAAGAACATTTTAAAAGCTAAAGAGTGGAATTGCCAAGCAAACTCCCAGAAGTAACCCACCAGAAAGAGACGCATCTTCAGTAATTTTCCCCCAAAGAGTACAGGAGGGAGAACAGTCAAGAAGTGTTTTGTGTGGAAATGTGTCCAAGAGGCGTCAGCTGCTACCCAGAGAACTCACTGCCCAGAACACTGCGCGTGGGGAACAGACCCTCACCCCCACCTCAAATGTGCTCCCCACTGGGCCAGCTGGCAGCCGGCTTAGCCAAGGACAGGATGGCTCCCTGTGTGAATGGAAAGCACAAAAGTTGTCAGCGTGGAATCTGGCCAGCCCTTGATAAGCTCCCTCCCCTTTGGTCAGAGACAGAGCATCCCGTGTGGCCCAAGGTCCTGAAGAACTGGACTGTGTCCCCAGAACATGGGACTCCCTGTGGCCAGCGAAGTTCCCATCCTCTGTCTGACCAAAGGGTCTAGGGAACCGCAGCTTCTGAACCAGGCTGCGGCCCCAGGGAATGGGGCAGTGGATGTGGGCAGCAAGCCCCGGGGCCTCCCCTGCCAGTCCTGGTAAGGATGGTGCCGTCACCATCTCAGGGGTGAAGAGAAAAATTAATCTTCTATCATTTCAGACTGAACTCCTTAGCTCACACTAACACGGTTTTGCTCATTTTATCTTATTTTCTTGGTTTTATTTAATACTGAAAACTGAACACTGACCTTGCCTTCAGAGGGAGAGAAAGGACCCAACACCACGGAGCTCCCTTGTGTCTCAGGGGCCTGGCAGGGATTTTAGACCTGCCACCCATCGCTGCACACCACGTGCCCGAGGTACCCCGTGCCTGTGGAGACAGCCTTGTGCTAGGAAGACAGGCTGGGCCCGCTGCCCCCTCAGGGGGGTGGGCAACCCAGAGCCCGTGGCAGGGCCAGCTGCTGCGGAGCCCAGCTGGCTCAGGCCTGCTGGGACCACTGTGGGTATGCGCTGGGGTTGCTGGGTAAACCTCTGGCATGCTGGAGTTCACCATCTTCCCAGTGGTGTTGATGGTTGCAGATGCACGTGAGGTGAGGCGACATAGCCACCCTTGGGTGGGTTTATGAGGCCATTTGCAGGTACTTGGGGGCGGGAGTGCCATCTTCTGCCAAGTGGGTGAAGGCCATTCTGCCTAGAGAAGGGCAGGTTAGGAGGCACTTGCAGGAAAGATGCCTGGACCTTGAGAGTGACCCTGGCCAGCATCCCTGCCGCCCCTCTCAGCCCTAGGCTTTCTTGCCCAGAGCTGGACGGGGCCTCGGGGACTTTGTAGTTCAACCCCTCATTGTGCTATGGTCACAGAAGTAAGTGACATTCCCAAGGCCACATGACCAATGGCTTGGGGGCCAAGCCCAGGACCACTGCCCTATCCCCTCTATGGGGCCAGTGGTTCCTCATTTCCTACTTGCTTCTTGGAGCAGCCTCTTTGGAGGCTGACAGTCCCTCCAGCCCGAGCTTGGTCACTGTGCCTGCCTTCTCTCCAGAACTAAGAGCAAGAAAAGCTGCCTCAGGTACAGTCCGGGCCATGCCACATGCTGTGTAGCACCATGCCCAAGGTGAGTGGCGGAGACAGATCATCCAGGGGCTGCTGCAGACCTCAGTCCCAGCGGGTGGTTCATCATGGGACTCTGCCTTGTACTGTCTCGTCCTCTTTGTTGCCTAGCACAGGCCTGGTGTGTGGCAGGTGCTCTGTGTTGGATGGAGAAGGGAGAGGGAGGACCCCTCCACACACACGCACACACGCACACACGCACACACACACACACACTGCATCATTCAACCACTGAAACTCTCAACAACCCAGACATCAGCACCACGGTGACCGCACGCAGAGTGTGGATGGTGCTGAAGCTGTTAGGAGCCTCCTGATTCGGGCGTTGGGCCTGGTCTGCCTCCAGACACTGCCCTGTCACTGCAGAGACTGGCCTCGCCTCCCAGCGTGGACTTTGTACAAGACATGGGTGGGGAGGGGTCTGCCAGAGGACAGGTGTGCGGATGGTGGGGCTGGGGCCTTGGAGAAGGCCTTTCATGCAGGGAGAGGTGAGCCTTGGTCTCTGCTGGCCCAGGGAGGCTGCTCCAGTCAGGGATCCGGGGAACCTGGGTCAGGGCCATCTTAGGACCCCAGTGGTGGTCCCTGGTGGGACTACTGAGCTCCAGCTTGGAAGTTCAGGAACTCCCCAACGATTGCTTGTAGGGAGACCTCACTTACCAGGTGGCCCACAGGACACACCCCAAAGGTAGTGACCCTTGAGAAGAGATAGTTTGGAGTCATTGGAGGCTGGGAGACCCAGGTACCCGTCGGGGAAGAGGGTGTAAGTGGAGCTAGGCCTTCAGGTGAGGAAGGTTCCAGCAGCCCCGGTGACCACCTATTTCTCAGTCCAACAGTATGGAGAAGGGATTTTGTGACCACAGGGTCATGACATCGTGCAAGGCAGACTCAGGCTCAATGTGTGTGACCGTCCTTCTGGGGCTATCTCAGGCCGTCCAGGCAGAAGGGCTCACTCCCCTCGTGGGTCACCAAGGGTGGGTGGGGGCGGCAGCCCTGAAGAGGGAAGAGCTGGGTGCGGGGGCGGGGCAGGCCTTATCCAGAAAGTGGTCAAGTATATAATCCATGGCTCGTCCTCACATGGACTGACCCCACCAGGCGAGGAGGGATCCGAACCGCCCACCCCAAAGTGTTCAGGGTGCCTGGTGACAAGACCCCAGCCACGATGGGCTGTTGTGTCCTGGGAGGAAAATGAGCAGCAAGCAGAGGGCCTGGTGGTGGTGAATGCTGCATCTGCTCCCTGGGACTGGTCTGTGCCCCATACCAGACCATTTTCCAGCTTGCTTTCACCTCTAGCTCAGAGAGGAATTGCCTTCACACCTCTGTGCTGACATTAACCCAGCTCTGCACCCACCGTTCCCCACCTCCGTGCAGCACCCGCTACTGAGACACACCCCCACGCACCCCTCAGAGCCTTGCAGTGTGCTCTGGTCCCGCCCCCCGCCCTCTGAGAGTGCTGCAGCCAGGTCTGGCCTGCCTTCCATGGCACAAGGCTCTCTCTGTGTAGTGGGTGGAACTCACGCACCCCTAAACAGTTCTCCATTCACCCCAGAAATGATCGACCCTGTGATGACAGGAACCACATCTTGAGCTTTTGAAGTCCCCAGAAATTTAAGGTAGCACTAGCACACCCAAAAGTCAAGTGACATCATCAAGAGAGAAACAGTTTTGTCCTCTTAGGAGAGGTGTCTGCACTCAGAGACATTGTTACCCACTGCCTGGGATGTGTGTACCCTGCAGTGGATGCTTTTCCCTCCTGTGAGCTTGACCTTCCTGCCCCTGACCCCCAAGGCTGGTGTCCCTGGGGACCCATCCTTCAGGCTCCTTTTCCCTCTTCCCCAAATCTCCTTCAAGCCCCAGTGTCTAGACCACTAGGATTTAGACGCCTGAAAGCACCTCACTCTGACCCTGCCAAGTGAGTGCCATCCTGCCCCGCACAGCCACCTAGGGTGCGGAGTTAGCCACAGGCTGCTGTCTCAGGCTGTCTGCTCTGAGTGCCCAGGGGACATGAGGTTAGTGATGGGGCTAGACTGGGATACCCCAGGATCTGAGCAGACTAGCAGGACACTGGAAAATACACTTTGAAGCTTTAAAAAGATGATTTAGGCTGGATGTGGTGGCTCACTCCTGTAATGCCAGCATTTGGGAGGCCAAGGTGGGAAGATCACTTGCAGCCGGGAGTTTGAGGCTGCAGTAAGCTGTGATCACGCCACTACACTCCAGCCTGGGCAGCAGCAAGACCCTGTCTAAAAAAAAAAAATCTGGGCCAACTCGGAAGGTGCATCTCTTAAAAGCAGGTCAGGTTCAGAGGTGGTCTTGCATGGACTCCTGCAATGTCACAGATTTTAGAAATCATTTGGGGAAGGGTGCAGTTTGGGTAGTGGTACATGAAGACCACAATGGCAGTATTGATTGATTCTCCAAAGTAGAAGACTTATAACCCATTTAAAAATGTTTTCCCAATAAAGAGTCCTTTTCACAAACTGCTTTTAAAGAGCTCCCACTCCAGCCCCACCCTGGAGTTTGCAGTCATGTCTCTAAGTAGGACGCCCTTAAGGTTCGCTGACTCTCCCAGGAACCGCCCCCCACAGTTGCGTCCCCTGCGCTCCCCATCTCCTGTGATGATGCTCTGGGCCTAGTCTGGGCTTCTGGGACGGGGCCACCGGCCTCCAGGCAGGCTCAGCCTCTGTCCGTCCTGACTCCCCTCCCCAGCAACTGCAGCAGCCCCTTGGGATGTTTGTGTTAATCTTCGAAACTCCAAGGAGGCAGGGCGCCTCGTCCTGCATGCTAATACCCCACAGACTGGCTACAGAGTTCGTTCAGCCTAG